TTTTAATGATAAACTTGATATGCGCGCTGTAATTACGGACATTTTAAAAAAAATTTGAAGTCTCTAGCTCTTATATCTTCTGAAATCGACGCGTTCATACATACGGACAGACGGACAGACAGACGGACAGGGCCAAATCAACTCAGCTCGTCACCCTGATCAAGAATATATATACTTYGWGGRRTCTGCCACGCCTCCTTCTCCCTGTTACATACATTTCAACAAAACCATTATACCCTGATTTCCCATTGAAAATGGGTTCAGGGTATAAAAAAGCAGATTTGACGGGAAAAAAGCTGATTTGACAACACTGCTTAGATGTGTGCATGTGCGTATACATATGTAAGTATTTACGAATCGTTCCCTGTCTACCTGTGAGCGATTGTTGTGTGTGTGTTTGCCAGAGACGGATAAAATATATAAGTCGCATATAGAGCACATAGTAAAGTATTCGCAGCAATAGTAGTAGAAATTAGAATTGTCGTAGCAGGGTAATAAGATTGAGTTAAATATTGGCCTATTACGTAAGTAATACAGCATCATAAATAGTCGAAACTTTCAGACTATGATTATAACATGGATATGCATGTATTTGCCAAACCACAGTCTCTAGTTTTTGAAATAGGTCTTTTACAAACATAGGGGTGAGGGGTGAATATAGGGGTAGAGGGTAAATTATGACAAAAATCTGCATTGAAGATTTGGCGACTCTAGCTTTAAAGATGTTGCAGATATAAATGTTTTCGATAATGTGTTTAATCGATAACGAAATAACGGGGCAAGTTATGGGCTTTTGAAGCAGGACAGACGGACAGAGCTAAATCGACTCAGCTCGTCGCCCTGGTCAAGAATATATATGCTTTATGGGGTCTGTCACGCCTCCTTCTGCCTGTTACATACTTTAACAAAACCTCAGTTTCCCATTTTAAATGGGTTCAGGGTATAAATAGTACAATGATAATAACTATATAGCTATATAGCTGATCCGAACTGAGTTATTATAGTGAGACGCCTTCGGCAAACTTACCAATGAAATTAGGCGATGATGATTCACCCCATCACAACATTGTATGCACTGAAAGAAAAAGATGACCTCGATCAGTTTAAAATTAGCATAGGTCGGTTATAGGGGTGTAGAGTTTTCAATAATTTATCTAAGCTCAAGATCGGGTACGGAGTATCGATTATTGATTATTGAGAGTCAACATTATAGAAATTCAATGAGGTAATTTTAAAACGAATATCAAGTATAGAGAATCGAGTATATTGTATTAAGGATCGAAATACGAATTTTATGATTATGGAGAATCGAGCATCGCTATTGCGAATCTAGAGCCGACAATCAGATGTAGAGTATGAAGTAACGATTATCTGGATTGAATATCGACAGTAAAAAAAAAATCAATAAGTATCTATGGTCGAATATCGAAAATTGAAAGTATCTGAGTAAAGTGAGCCGGAATCAGCAATACCTTGGGCCTCGTATTAAGTCAGCTGGTTCTAATTCATCTGTAATTAGGTAGCTAACGGAGCAGACAGCCAAAATTTGAGTAACTGTTCGCACATACTCGATCAGACCCACAAACAGATAGAAAGAGAGACAGACATATATGATTACCCCAACCTGAATCACGGCCAACTGACTGCGCGGCAATCCACGACGAAGTTGGGTCTTAAGTGTTGGCCAGAACCCAGTTCTCTTTATGTGTAGAAACCCTAGCAAGGCTACACTGCATACAAGCTTCTTTCTAATTATGCGTTATTATATGATATTATTGTTGGATGCTTTATGCTATTGTTGGATGCCCTACCCTAAAGGTGTCTACAGCGGTATGTTCTAACTAATGGATGGATTCATATACTTCAATTGAAAATATATACAATATATATATAGAATTCAAAGGACTCTTAAAATATTACGAATGTTTGAAATACTAAATGGTGCGAAACTTTTAATAAAAATCAAAAGAACTTGGAATTAGCTAGGGTTGTTATTTAACTGTTGCAATTTTACATATTTGTATTATGCTTATGTTCAAATTAATTAATCTCTGAAAAGGACTCATTTATACGGTTTGCTTAGAAGCATATTGCTGCTGCTTTGTCAGTTTTGTCTTTTAGATAAAAGCATTGTAAGTTTTATTGTTTTATGCGTAACACGCAATCACACACAGTAAAGGTAGTTTCAGAGGAGTCCAAAATTCAAATTCAATGTTCTTACTAACACAAAACTAACACTTGTAGGGGACTAGTGGTTACTTTGAATTAATGAGAGGCTCGAAATCTCGTAGGTTTGAAATAAAGAGAGTGGACTGTAACATATGTATATATCTATGTGTGTGTGTGTGCGCACGTTTGTATATGTGTAGGGTATACAATCTTCGATCGGCCACAGCACGGAGGTGTCTTGCCTGTTCATTGCCACTTCATTTCCTTAAACCTTTTCTTTTCTTTTTTGAGCCCTTTTTTATCGAGCAGTAATTAAATATTGCGTTCACGTAATTGGCTTTATTAGTGTACACACACTCAGACAGAGACTGTATATACCTGTATACAAGCATACATATATAGAGTGTTATATATATGTACATAAAATATTGTATTGGGTTCTCATGAATATAAATAACTTTGTGTTCAATGAAGTAATATATTTTATATAATTCAGTAACAATAGGTCTAAGCTCTCTCTCTTGTCCTCCTTTGATTGTCGATAGTCTTAACCTATATATATATATATGTATATATATA